CCAAAAAAAAAAAAAAAAGGTTGTATGGGCTGGAAGGTGGCTCAGTGGCAGAGCGCTTGCCTTGCATACATGAGGCCTGGGTTCGATTCATCAGCACCACATAAGCAGAAAAAGCCCCAAGTGGTGCTGTGGCTCAAGTGGTAGAGCACTAGCCTTGAGTTGAAGAGCTGAGGGACAAGGCCCAGGCCCAGAGTTAGGCCCCACGAATGACCAAAAAAAAAAAAAGAGAGAGAGAGAGAGAGAGAGAAAAGATTGTGATGGATTAAGATTTAAGTGAGATTAAATACAATTATGTATCTAATAGCAATTTGTATACAGGCAGAGTAAATACTCAATAGCAGTTATTAGTATCATTATTTTTGCCAGACTATTCTACCTAATTCTACAGAAGCAGAGGTGACAGTATTCTCCTGCTGATACTGAGACACCTACACCATGGGAGTGGGTCCCTCATACAGAATACCCCTTAGCATTGAGACTTGCTTTCCTAGCTGCTGGGAGTAGGGGTAGGGATAGGTTCTCAGCTGTCTCTGTCCAGGAATCATCTGCCTGGGAGCTACCTGGCCAAGTCTCCTCCGCTCCCCAGAGATGGCCTCAACTCCCCCTTTCCTTCCCCAAGCTCCCAGAGGATGAGCTAAATAAGTTCTGTTTCACATGCTCTACAGTTTGACTTCTTCCCCTGCCCAGAGTTGCAGACTTCATTCTCAAGACTCCTGAGGAGGTCTCCTGACTCAAATTTCAGCCACAGAGCACTTCCCAGGGAGCCTCACCTGCGATGCCATTCCTAGACACCTGGTAGCATTCCATTCTCACGAACATGGTTAAGTGTAGGCTAACTGCCCAGGCAAAGGCCTGTCCCTTCACCTGAAGCTCACACCCTGGCACGGGCTCAGGACCACAGGACCACTCACCAGGTGCGCTTGTTGTCAAAGAAGAGGACAAGGAAGAGCTTCTCTCCAACCTCTGCCTGCTTCTGCTCTCCCAGCTTCAGCACGTCCAGTGGGGGGACAGGGATGGGGACACCATTGTGCAGGAGACCCTCTCGGGGCATCTTCGGATCGATGATCTGGAGGCAGAAAGGAGCCAAGAACTTAATGGGACAGGGCAAGTATTCAGGGACCCCCAAATACCAGATGAGCCACAAAAGCACCCCACATCTAAGGCATACTTAGATTGTAGGCTCTGCCTACAATCAAAGGATGGCAAAGATGTAGCTACCATGACCCACAGAGCCCCCAAATGGAAGCCTTGACTGTTTCCCAGTTCACTGTTCTAATCTTCCAGCCCTGCTCAACTGGTCCTGTGAGGGAACGTGCACCAAGGACTACCGGCCGCAAAGCCAAGAGAGAAGCAGCAGGAGGCCTCCAGGGGTGAGAATGTCAGGACTGAGTGGGCTATCTTTGATATCCAAACTAGACAGACAAACTTCTTCCTCTCAATGTCCCATAAAAGAAAGAGGCCAGGCACCAGTGGCTCACACCTCTAATTCTAGCTATTCAGGAGGCTGAGATCTGAGTATCACAGTTCAAAGCCAGCCCAAGCAGGGCAGTCTATGAGACGCTTATCTCCAATAAACCACCAGAAAACCTTAAGTGTGGCTCAAAGTGGTAGAGCACTAGCCTTGAGTGAAAAAGCTCAGGGACAATACCCAGGCCCAGAGTTTGAGGCGGGGGGGGGGGGAGATAGAAAGAGAGGACGGGGGGAGGAGGAGGCCATTCCCCACCCCCCTGAATTCACCTTGTAATCCATCTCAAATGCTCAGGGGTTTTGTATAAAGACCATAGCTTTGAAGGATTCTGCATCAGCAAGAGGAATAGTCTTTCAGTTCCATGTACAGGTGTCTACCCACCACATTCCTGTCTGACTGTAATTCTGGCCTGGACCAGATACATATGGGTCATCTCCATGGAAAGATCAGAGAGGAGAGAAATGAGAGAGACTGAACCTAGAGGTAGTGAGGAAAATGAGGTGCTTGGAATCGAGGACTACTGGAGGAGCTAAGCTTTGAGGTAGCAAGCTCCCAAAGGGCAGAAGCTTGGCCTGTCTTGTTCTGTTTGCTTCTTGCACTCAGTACCTACTGTCTAGCTCAGAGCAGGTGCTTAGCAAAAATGACTACAGCATTGACACAATAATTCTCCAGGTATAGAGCACTTTTAAGTTTCCAGAACTCTTAATTACTCACACATCATCTCCTTTCAATGTTTTACTGATGCCAAGAAGATCACTGACAGGTGAAGGAGAGTTATAGAGCTGGCTGACGCCTGGGCTGGACTAAAATCGAACATTCAAACTAAAACCAGATGCTCAGCCAAGGCATGAGTGTCTGCTACAAGCCACCTCCTGTACAGTCCTTGCTTCCAGGGAAGCTGGCTGAAAATCTGTGCACACTTGGAAGCTTACCAAGGAAGCAGCCCTCTCTAGAGACAGAACAGTCTTAATTCCTATACCCTGTCCCGGCAGGCCTCTTCTCATAATAAACTCTCTCATTATTTACCTTTGGGTGTCTGCCAGTTTCCCACATCCCTCTCAAGACCAGCAGCTGAAAACAGGCGCTCTGATTAAGAGTTTTAAACGTCCCCCCACCCCCACTCCACTCTACCTGCCAATTGTAAGTTTGGTCAAAATTTTATCTCCCAGCCTGCTAGTCCTCCTGGGACTAAGCTAAGTGTCCTAAGAAACAACTCTAACAGCCTTTCTAAACGTCCTTGCCTGCCACTAGAGGCAGTGGCTACTCTACTCTGATATGTTCCATCTTGACTGCAGCATGCTGGCTCCAGGGGGTGGGTGGTGAAAACTTCCTGATAGCAAAGGCAAGGTGGCTAAGTGTGCCATCTGAGGACAGCTGCCATCCCCCAAAATGAGACAGCCCATTCACTCAATGAATGCTATGCAGGTGTAAAATGGCACGGAAATAAAGCTTGTGTTAAATTTAAGATCTTAGACAATAAATGTAGGGCATACACTATATATGTAACTATAATATGTGAGCAAGGAAAGGAAGAACAATGCAAAACATTTCAGAGTCAAAATAAGAAAATAATGGGTTTGTGTTGCTTTTCTATAATGTACATTATTTTTATGCCTCCCCTCAAAAAAAAACTCAAACCAAGAAAATACATTTGTTTAAAAGACAGCTTGAAAAAATATATTAAAATACAACATGCAAATACATATTGAAGCAGGCATAGGAAAAGCACTGGGAGAGCACAGAAATAAAAACAGGGTGTGTTCAGATAGTGGTTAAATTTCTTTGTAAAACATGAGTTTTAGACTGGCTTTTTTCTGCATGGTAAGGTTTAAATAAACACCCAAGCCTGCACAGCGTCAATCACTTCCTTAATGGCCTAAGGTGGGGTTTCTGTGGGCTCAGCCTGGCTAACCCCAGAACCTTGTGAAATCAAACAGGCCCTGGCCCCAGGTCTCTCCAGCTGTTGGATAACACTGTGGAACTTTCCACACCTCCACTGCTGTGGTAGAAGAGAAGAAAGGCAAGATGAGTCCCAGTGAAGCTCCAGCAAATTGCATAATCCCTTTGAGAGTTTCCTTATTTGCCTGGATAGGATCTGAGTGCCCATCCTCTAACTTAAAAGAGGCTGAGGTTAAGCTCTAGGGCAACAGACAGGGAAAGGGTGGGAGAAGAGTTCTGTGTACACTGAGAGGCTGGGTGGCTCCTACCCTGGACTATAGATCACCTAAAAAAAAAAAAAAAAAACCTTCTGAAAAAATATTCATGCCTGGGCTGGGAAGGTGGCTCAGTGGTAGAGTGCTCGCCTTGCATGCGTGAGGCCCTGGGTTCGATTCCTCAGCATCACATAAGCAGAAAAAGCCAGAAGTGGGTGTTGTGGCTCAACTGGTAGAGTGCTAGCCTTGAGCTGAAGAGCTGAGGGACAGTGCCCAGGCCCAGAATTCAGGCCCCACGACCAACCAAAAAAAAAAAATATTCATGCCTCAGAGAATCTTATTTGGTAGTCCTAGGGTAGAGATGACTTGGTATACACATTTATTTTAAAAATTCAGTTGAGCCGGGTGCCAGTGGCTCACACCTGTAATCGTAGCTACTCAGGAAGCCGAGATCTGAAGATTGCAGTACAAAGCCAGCCTGGGCAGAAAAGTCTATGAGACTCTTATCTCCAATTAACCACCAGAAAACTGGAAGTGGCATTGTGGTTCAAATGGTAAAGTGTTAGCCTTGAGCTGAAGAGCTGAGGGACAGCGCCCAAGCCCAGAGTTCAAGTACCATAAATGACGAAAAGAAAAGAAAATCCAGGTGATTCTGACACACCCTAAAAATTTAGAATTAGTGGTATCTTCCAGAGCTGAGTGGACTTTCCATCTTTAATGAAGAAACAATTTTAAAAGACAACTTAAGGTGGTATGGAATTTTTAGCTACTGCTGATAGTATAAACTGGAGATTTCAAGCAACTTGGCTACCTATATCACAATTCTGTATAGACTTCATCCCAGAAGGCATCCCAAAGCATTCAATGGAAAGAAACAATCATGAATGTGCACAAAGATAAAGCTACAGTGACATTTGCTGCTGCTTACCACAGTGAAAATTCAATCTCAATAAGCAGCTAGGAAATAATTTGAAATGTGGCACTTGAACACAACTGAAAATGCAACCATTAAACTGAAGAGATGGAGGAGAATGTTTAATAGCATAAAACAAGAAGGTTTATAATAAGCTGTTAAGTGGAAGGGAGGTTAAAAACAGACCATGGTCTCATACACATGTATATTTATGCATTATTTTAAAAAATGAAGTGGATATATACCAAGTAATCCCTGAACAGACAGAATTATGGGTGATTTTGAACTCAGTGGCTCAGAACACAAGCTTTGACATCACACATATTGAGCCTTGGGCTTAAATTCCAACTCTGCCATTTATTAGCTGGCTGACTATGGTTAACAGATTATGTTCTCTTTCCTACAAAATAGAAGAACCATATGATGCCTCCGTGTTTCAAGGACTTAGCACGACAGATGTTTAATAAAGCATCTAAGCAGCATTAACAGTGTTTTAAATCTCTACTTTTACATGTAAGCAAATAAAGAAATGCTATTTAGAACTCTAAGAACCCTAGTGTCTTCATACTTTTAGTCTATTTTGATTGCTCCCAGCTGGGACCCTATCTGGTTTGTCCAACACAGGCTGGGGTAAGGCCCCCTCCCTCTGCAACTAAAGGCACTGACACCCACCACTCTTAAGCTGGCTTGATCCAATCAGATAAGCCCCCAAGGCAAGGCAAGGGCCAGAGCCGCCCAAGATAGGCAGGAGGGTGGCGTCTGGGGCAGACTCACCAAGGCAGGGTAGGAGGGATAGCCTCGGCACTTGGCCCACACCAGCTCCAGGGGCTCCAGGTCTCCGCGGTCTTCAAAGGGCATCAGGAGGCTTCTGCCTGGGGGTGGGGGAGGGGAGGAAACAGTGCCCAAAGGGGACTTGGAATGGTACCCCCAAAGCCCTGCCTGTGGTTTTCATTCGATCGGGGCAGCCCAGGAATGAGTCAGTAACAGGCCCTCCACCCTTCCTCTTCTTTGCTCTCTCCTTAAGAGATTTTAGACTGGATCAGGGGTCAGAAAACTAGCTCTGTTAATGGCCAAATAGTGAACATTTCAGGTTTTTATGGGCAGTGTGGTCTCTGTCCAACTACTCAACTTTGCAGCTGCAACACGAGGAAAGCCATAGCCAATCTATGTACACAAATGAAATGTGGCTTTGTCCCAATAAAACTATTTTGGAAATGGAATTTGAATTTTATGTCATTTTCACATTATAATATGCCAACCATTCTTCTTTTGATTTTTTAAAATCATTTTAAAACATACATTCTTAGCTCACCAGCCACTTAAAAACAGGCAGAAGGCCATAATTTACCAACCTCTGAACCTGAACCCTAGAATGGCTTTCCCTGGGAAAACCATATAACTGCTTCACCTCCAGGGCCTCAGAGAGGCTTGGACAAGCCCCATGCCACTGTATGGCCCCGAGTAGGAGTCTTGGTGATGGGGGTTTCATGGAAAAACTGCTTGGAAAGGACATCCTACCCAATAAAAACCAACTGCTAATGAGTTATTGTTAAACTGGGCCACACTGGGCCATCAGGTCATAACCAGCAGAGCCAAGCAAGTCTGCAGGTTTTTTGCAACCGTTTCCTCACCTCCCCCAGAGTTAAGGATTGAACCCAGGGACTGAGCACACTAGGCAAGTACTCTATGACTGAGCTATACCATCAGCCCTTCTCTCTTGGAGACAAGGTCTCGCTATATATAGCTCAGAGAGATCTTGATTTCCCTACGTAGTGCAGACTGACCTTAGGCTCTCCATCCTATCTCAGCTTTTTGAGGGTAAGGATTAACATCACCTGCCAACCATGTCTAGCAAGTCCCTGTTTTTGTCAGAATCTTATAGTAGGAATGCATCTTGAGACAGGGACATCGCCTTGGTTATCTATCCAGTACATAAGACACATGGATAGTATTTCATAAATACTTCTGAGAATGCTTCTTTCCTCCGTCCTATTCCTACAAACTGAGGACTAGAGGGGACAGTTCACTCAACCAAGGCTCTACCCTGACAGAATGGCAATTCTATTTTTATGGAAACAGTATCAGTCATTTGTAATTAAAAAATGTATCTATTTAAGAGAATGACACCATACTGTTTTGACTTGAGTGAAACAACAGCAGGTAAGATCCAATGCTTAAGAGGAAGGCTGAGTGGGAGCGTGTGCATTTGTACACTGCGGGTGAAACCACAGACCAGTGCAATCCTTTCAGAATGTAATTTGGCAGGATGTCTCAGGATAAAGTGGATAAACCATCTGTTTCAGTAAGTTCCTTCCTCGGCAGTTTATTCTAAGAAAAACAACTTTACAATGAATAAAAGGATTTTGAATAAAAAACTGTGGGCTCACTATACGATGTCATGTTAAAAGTCGGAGATGACCCAAATGTCTAGCAGTAAAATAGGTAAGTAAATTTTAAAACATTGTGAGATACCTTGTTCCAATAATATAAGACACATATGTGTCAGCATGAAAAAAGTATAATTTTTTTAAAAAGCAGAATTCAAAAGTACAAGTTTGAGATTAACACTTCGTTAAAAACATGCCTAAAGTAAACAGAAGGCAACACAGAGAAATGAAGATAATCATGTTAAGATGATGGAGCTGAGAGGTCAATTCCCTTTTAAAATTTCTTTCAATGTTATTTTAAATATGTGGGTTTTAAAAGTAAAAATAAAATATCATCACCAGAAGCACAAAATACGCCAGTCCACTCCTGGTTTCAAGCTTAGATTTTGTACAGATTCATCTAGCCATGAACCCTGCCTTCTGAGTGCTGACAGTCACACAGAGTAATGAAATACACAGGCATGCATCCATCACCACACATAAGAGAAAGGAAATAAGGGAGAAGAAATCAGCTGGGAAAGGAAAGAGGGGCAAAGAAGTCTTGCAGCTTGTATATTAAATTAACTTCAGACAGGGCATCCAAAGCACACAGAGTACCAATCCAGATCCCTCCCCTCCTCCTGGCCTGGCTCTGTCCTTTATTTGACTTGTCCAAGGTCATGGGTTCAGTGTAAAATGACAAGATTATGTGTGAGATTCAGTGATAACAGGCTATCACTGATTAGTGAGTGTAGACAGGCAAGACCTATCAAAATCACAACACATACCTTTTAATGAAACAATTTCACTACCATACATATAGTTTAAAATGATCTATGTACAGCTATGATAGCTCAATGCAATACTGATTATGATAGTAAATGAAAACAATCTAAATGTCCGTTATTATTGGGCTAGCTAAACAAAAGGAAGTACCTCTCTATATAATGGGACTCTAGGGTGCCAAGACAAAGCACAGAAGAATCTCCAGGGTATATTATTAACTGGAACCAAGGAATGATTTAGAGGAAGATGTATCTATTAGGCTTCTCTACTCACTCAAACAGAACACAGGTGTTGGCTTGTAATATACAGGGAAGGGTTGGGTAAGACACAACAGAAAATGCACGGGTCCTCCAGGGAGGAGAGGCACTGGCTTTCATTGTACATCCTTCTACATGGTTTTAGTTTTTGTTAGTATGGGTATATGCTGCCTACTCGATTCACGTAATTTTTTTTTTTTTTAAGTAGGACTGGCTTAGAAGTAGGGGCCATCTCTTTGGCCAGTGACCCAGGGTTTGGGGAGCTCAAGGACAAACTGCCTGGTTCTAAGCACCAGCAGTGCAGCAGCCCACAGACCTGGCTCTTCACGACTCTGTCTGAACATCCTCCTCACCTGAGACACTGTAGTCGGAGTCTCCATTTACACCTTCCAGGAAGGGCACTCTGGACAAGGCTGGCTTCCCACGGCTGCGTTTGGGGGGCACCGGATCACTGCATACAGAGCAAGGAAAGGGGTGAAACAAGCAGCTTCAATGGCTATCATACTCAGTCCTGCTTTCCTGTCACTAACTGGAGTGGAGCTGCAAAAGCCCTAGGGGAGGATGGAGTGTCAACATCCCCTATAGATCCACAACACTTTTCACCTCCAAGCCCCCACCTGGCTTCAGGAACCATTCCATCACACAAAAGGATTAAACCTAGAAAGAGGTTCCTGTCCAAGTTGCTTGGACTTCACCTAATCTCTGGTCCAGAGCCTCAGCAGCCTTGACATGAGGAGCGGCCACCTCACATCTGTCTAGAATGCCTTACTCTGTGATTATCATCTGTAAAAACCAACCGATACTGAGGTATAAAATTTTGCCTTGCTTCTAAATTTTCTAAAATGGACACATTTACTTCCAGAATTAGAAAGGACATTTTTAAATTGAAAAAAGAAATCTACTTCTCACTTCTCAATGGTTTAATGTGTGAAGTTTTTCTTGGATAGGGATGGATTTCTTTTTTTTAACTCTGTAAGTGGACCAATTTTTTTAAACAAAGAGGTAAAGTATATTTTAGACAAAGACTAAAGGGTAATAAGCAAATCTGGGATACCAACACAGAGCAATGGTTTAACTGGGGCCCATCCAGCATCAGTATTTTTAGATAGCTTCATATGCAATTCAAATGTACAACAAAAACAAGCTTCCAGGTAAAAAATATGTGGCTGGGGACTTTTGTCTGCCCAGACTTAAACGGTACTTGGTTTAACTGACTTTTATCTTCATGTAAGAAAATGTTGCCCAAGGTGGCTCAGTGGTAGAGTGCTTGCCTTGCATGCATGAGTCCCTGGGTTCAATTCCTCAGCACCACATAAGCAGAAAAAGCCACAAGTAGCACTGTGGCTCAAGTGGTAGAGCACTAATCTTGAGCTGAAGAGCAGAGGGACAGTGCCCAGGCCCAGAGTGCAGGTCCCACGACTGACCAAAAAAAAAGTGCCCAACTAAATCCCAGGAATACAACAGAAAAGAACAAAGCAAAATCCCTGTGTAATGAAACTCTGGAACCAGACTACTAGGGCTCAAAACCCAACTCTTCTCATTAATTCTGTAACCTTGGACAAATTACTTAACTTCTCTGAAAGAAGTGTTCCCTCAATGGTGTTAATGGAATTTAAGGAGTTAATATACAAGGCCATACTGCATTATCTAGTGAATAACAGTTGTAGTTATTACATAGAAGGCAGTACATTTTAATGTTTTACTCAAGGTAATTTTTTTTTTTTTGGGTCCGGTCGTGAGGCCTGAACTCTGGGCCTGGGTGCTGTCCCTCAGCTCTTCAGCTCAAGGCTAGCGCTCTACTACTTGAGCCACAGCGCCACTTCTGGCTTTTT